ACGAAATTACTACTTACCGCAGTGACTGAGGCACCGGTATCAACCAACATTAGGGTGGATCGGTCGGCGATAGAGCCATAGACATAAAGACTATCTGATGGAGGGTGTACCTGTGAATCAAAGCATTCACATGCAAGCTATTAGATGGGGGCGTTTGAGGAGGAGTGTACCACTCCTGAAGAGAAACATAAGCTAGTTTTATGTAACGGGAGGAAATTTCACTGCGTCAGGCGGCTTTCGGTCTTACTAACCAAATTAGCAGGAAAGTCGAACTCGGTAAACAAAGGAACTAAGGCTCCTCACGATGATTTGAGAATTAGCAAATATTGATCTGCTAATGGGAAATACTGGCGGGAAACTGCAATTTGGAAGAGCGACTGGCTTGCTGCCGGCACCCGTTACTTCTGCCAGAGTTACAGGGTGTTATTTCCACGTCCCAGAGTACTAGATTTCGGACAAAAACTGAAACTTCTCTATAATGCTGCAACTTCTTTATTGTAGAGTAAACCTCGTAAAAAGTACTTCACACTCAATAAGCTCATCGATAGGCGTCGTAGGTAATCGTACAGGTAATCAATTAACAGCAGTTTAAGCGCTACTTTTAAACTGTCTTAAGTAAACACAGGTGTTAAATTATCATAAAGAATACAAAAACCTATTCAAAATACACATGCAAGCAGAACAACGGGTTACAATTCGATTGGTTAAAAGACTGCTTCTATATGGTGAAATTAGAAAACTACCATTTCAGTTCCTGGATCTCTCGGGAAACGCGTGTTGTAAATTGAGCTAAATGAACAGAGCAGAACAGTTGTTCCTTTGAAATGCAAATAGTTCTCGTCTAACAAAGGGACACCTAGAAAAGTACACGTGTTCTATTGAAATTACATGTCAAGTTGTCCATTTTTTGGACACCTATTTCTGCCTGCCATTTTGCATAATGCACGCCGTTTAGGTGCGGAGTTTTAGTAAGATACGAAAGAGTTAAAACTAGATTTGCTGAGTATTACAATAACGCTCTGATGAAACTGACTTCCGTTCATAAAGATAACATTAAAATATCGGCTGTGACATTTAAAACGTTAATTACTTTCAAAAGCTACACAGGTGGATAACGGCTTGTTACAGGTTGATCACAGCTTGAAGACTAAATACAATTATGACTGGACAAACAAGTTTATGCTCAATAAATCAACAGGTTGTTTACGGCTTAAAGAAGTTAAGACTAAAGAATAAAGGATTCCTACATTGGCTTTTCCTATTTTTACCAGCAAAAGCAAAATAACTGAAAAACAATAAATCCTCTCCTCACAATAATTAAATCGTGAAATATTTACATTATCAGCATCATAAGACGCGATGTGCGGTGGTCTTAAATTGGCTCTTGCTCGGAGAAAAGAGCTTCCGGCTAGAGCCCTCACTCGTTTAACTGCGAACTGACGACTGCTAGGCTGCTCTGAAAATTGAGGTCTGTTAGAAAAACGAACCTGGTTTGGCGGAAGTCGTGGATTCCTACTACACTGTTGGAAAGTGCACCAAGCATGTCCTACATGTTGGCAAAAGGAACAAATAGGATCCCTCTCTACTGTGCGAAAATTGCGACTATAGGAGCGTAAATCAGGACGACGTGGATTTTGGTAACGCCTAAGTTCATTTTCCAGCCGATTTATGTGCCTCTGCATCTGGTCAATTTGGCGAGTAGGCGGTCCTTGCCAATTGCACGTTTGGTTAAAACGCGGAGGAACAGATTGTGGTTGATCATAAGCCGCTACACTGGCAGAATAAGCTGGGCGCTGCGTGGTTTGCTGCTCCAATTGTTTAAGTTGTTTAGAAAGCTCATCAAAACGCTTATCGATTTGCCATGGTATCGGTTCTGNAAGATAACATTAAAATATCGGCTGTGACATTTAAAACGTTAATTACTTTCAAAAGCTACACAGGTGGATAACGGCTTGTTACAGGTTGATCACAGCTTGAAGACTAAATACAATTATGACTGGACAAACAAGTTTATGCTCAATAAATCAACAGGTTGTTTACGGCTTAAAGAAGTTAAGACTAAAGAATAAAGGATTCCTACATTGGCTTTTCCTATTTTTACCAGCAAAAGCAAAATAACTGAATAACAATAAATCCTCTCCTCACAATAATTAAATCGTGAAATATTTACATTATCAGCATCATAAGACGCGATGTGCGGTGGTCTTAAATTGGCTCTTGCTCGGAGAAAAGAGCTTCCGGCTAGAGCCCTCACTCGTTTAACTGCGAACTGACGACTGCTAGGCTGCTCTGAAAATTGAGGTCTGTTAGAAAAACGAACCTGGTTTGGCGGAAGTCGTGGATTCCTACTACACTGTTGGAAAGTGCACCAAGCATGTCCTACATGTTGGCAAAAGGAACAAATAGGATCCCTCTCTACTGTGCGAAAATTGCGACTATAGGAGCGTAAATCAGGACGACGTGGATTTTGGTAACGCCTAAGTTCATTTTCCAGCCGATTTATGTGCCTCTGCATCTGGTCAATTTGGCGAGTAGGCGGTCCTTGCCAATTGCACGTTTGGTTAAAACGCGGAGGAACAGATTGTGGTTGATCATAAGCCGCTACACTGGCAGAATAAGCTGGGCGCTGCGTGGTTTGCTGCTCCAATTGTTTAAGTTGTTTAGAAAGCTCATCAAAACGCTTATCGATTTGCCATGGTATCGGTTCTGCAGAACCTGCCGCAGTTGTTGGAAGTTTGGTAGAGACAGTTTGGGTCATTAATTTCTGAAACATTGCTTCCATTTGATTGATCAGTGATTGTGTATCTGGCACACCCTCTCCACTAATTCTTTCAATTCTTTGCTAAATCAGTGTTACACCCATTGTTATACTAGCCAGAAAACCAGCTGCTTAGTGCAAACCGAATGCTGACGCAAGTCTAATCTGATTGGTTAATACTTTGTCGCAATGGCTTTCACTATTAAGCTTAAGTCAACTGGCCAATATAAAACTAGGAGAACAATATAAAAATTACAAGGTAGCTTCCTGTATACAAACTTTTCATATCAACAGATGAGAAATTACTAGAATTACAACTTGAAAATCCTGGCTTGTTGTCTATTTACAAGAGGTGTGAAGCTTGTTGTCGAAAAATGATTGGTCAGAACTTTTCCATAAATTAACTAAGGACGTGATCAGAAGAGAAATTAAAAGTACAGTTCAAAGTACAAGGCAGAATTTAGAACAATAGTCTTTTACCTTCAAAAACACCTATAAAATCACTTAAATCTAATTGAAGTTATCCACTGCCATGAATTCGGTTAAAACTCAAAGAAACACGCTTAAAACTGTTAAAAACAAGTAACGTAGTCATTTCCTGGTAAATATCGACGGAAGACCAGATTAAGGTCAAAAATGTTAAAGTGAGCAAAATACTTAATATAAACTAAGTCTTTGCCATCTGTCAAAGGCTCTAATTAAACATATTTCATGAACAGAAGTGTTACCGCGGAGATGCACCAAATTGGTACATCTCGTTTGCACCGAATTCATGTCAGAAGAAACTTTCTATCGATCATCAATTAACTTAAAAACCAAAACTATAAGTAGTGCAATAGCTTACTGAATTCAATTAACAAGAATGCTTATAACAAGTCAACTACAAACAAATTTCGTAGGAAATGCCACAAGTGGCTAACTTAACTCTTTCATCAACATTTTCCTTCAACAAGTTAAGATCAATGAGAATGAATCAAGAGAAATCATTTTCTCATTTCGGGAGAGGATGTCATTTGATCAGTGCTGATGCGTAGGAGTTGAACAGCAAGTAAAATGAGTCAAATTGTTTTTTTACGATGTTTCCCTTCACCCAAAGATATTTCCCGAAACGAATGAATTTTGCAATAAATCCCGAACACCAAATAAAATTCCTTTAATAATTTTAAGTCAAAAACATACGCACTGCGAACATTTTTCATCGCTTCCATTTTAATTGTTTAACAAAAATGGCTTTTCGTTTCGCGACAGTTTCGAAAGATGAGATTTTAGCGGTGAAGGAAGCAGCTGTGCCAACAAATACCAAGAAAGAGACAAAATTTGGTTTGTCGGTGTTTACGTACTGGTCGACAGAAAAAAATTTTCTCACTGAATTTGCAACAAAGTCATAAAAAATGATCCCCGAAACACTCAGTCAATTGAAACGTAAACAAACTGTCACAAAGTGACGTCTTTTATTTACAAAAAGTTCCTTTGATTTTTATCCAACTGATTTGGTAAATACTAAAACAATATCCCCCTCAGGGTCGGTTCATAGCGCTACAGATATACCTCCACGCTTTGCGTCTTTGTATATTTTCACCACTATTCACCTCCCCCTCGGGGGATGGTTGTATGATATTTCATCTGAATAGATCTGTCTCTGTGTTCAATTATTCACAGTGGCGTCTTGTGTGTAGTAAATCCACGCTGGGATTCCTGACTTCTTCTATTATGTTCCTTGGCTGGTTGTTTGGAAATATCATCTTCGGAATTCTATCAGACAAATATGGCCGCCGAAAGATCCTCTTCTTTTCTTCGTGTCTCGTCTGCTGGGTTGCATTCGTGAGTTCGTTTGTTCCTTGGTACTGGATGTATGCGACACTCAGGTTCATTATCGGTTTTGGTTTAGGTAAGCCGAGGGACGGCAAATTTGCCACCTTAGAAACCAGAAGGGGTCTGGAGCCGAAATGTATTCGGCAATGGTTTCTGGGATTGTTACTGGGGCCCGGCCAGTCAGCGGTTGGCCATTTTTTTTTTTCGTTGTCCCTAGTAACACTCCAAGAAGTCCTTGCGAAAATTTACTCTTCCCAGTTTTCTTTTCGTTTCTAAAGGGGCAAATTTTAAAAAGGGACTTTTGTCACGGCCGTTTAGTTCACGGTTTGGGTGGGGTTTGCCAGGTACTCGATAACGCTAGCCTGAGTGAAGAAATTACCACTGAATGAGAAACGCACAGTTTCATGACAGAAAAACACGTCTTCTGAGCGTGATTATTCAGACTTACAAACAACAGACAGCAGTGTTGAATCCGCGTATGCGAATGTTTTGGGGTACGCCCTCGCTTTGTTTTTAGACATTCAACATCTCGCGAGTAGGAGTACGCTCGATTGATCGTATTCTAGAGTAAAATACGTAGAAATTTGTGACCATTTAAAGAGATACATTCATCTTAATTATTTATGTTCACCAGATACCTGGATTTTACCGTGCAATGAATGCCAAAACAAGTAATTTTCAGAGTGAATTCCATGCATTTTTGTTCCGGAATACGGTCAATCTAACGCACCCAAGGTCAAAATTCGTCGCCCAGAACGGTCCCATAGTGCAGTTCGACCCAAAATTGACCCAGTCTCAAGGGCAATCTCAACCTCAACACTAGCCTGCGGTTAAGCTCTCCATTTATGGCGAGCGAGGCGAGCCGCGAGAGAACACGCCCCTCGCACTTTTGTCTCCCTTTCGCGCGCTGCTTTCGCGTGACTTCTCGCGACTTCCCCAACTAGAGAGCTTGCTGGCAGACTACCCCAACTCGTGACACTGAATTATTCACTTTTTCAGGAGGCTCCATCGTGTGCCTTTTCATCATGGCTACTGAATATGTGGGACCCAATCACCGCGCCATGGCTGGCACCTTTACTTGGTACTTTTGGACTGGGGCTCTTATGCTGATAGCCTTATTGGCGTACCTAGTGAGAGACTGGAGAAAGCTATCAATGATAACCTCCGCACCAGGTCTCATATTGTTTGTCTTTTGGATGTAAGTACTGAACATGAAAGCAAAATGCAGTCGTGTGCCCTTTGAGCGAAGTCCTCATTCTTTTGCTAAAGTCAAGGATTTGGTTTAACAAATGGCTCCCTTGATTAATAATACGAAGAGGTGTTATGTAGGCCATTTCCAAGTTCCAAAAACGCTCACTTTCAAACCGAGGCTAAGTGCAAAACCTTTCTTGTGAAAATGAGCTGTATTTGCATGAGAATTACAAATAGTTTTCATATCACTACCATACCCTTGTAAGGCACACACCAAGAATGGCTTCTCCTCTGGTATTCGTCGTCAGTCTTTGTAGGTAGAAAACACTCTACTTTCAGACGGTCAGTTATGTGGTGGTGTTGTGCTTATGGCGGACCTATTTAATTTCCAGACTTATCCCGGAGTCTGTACGCTGGTTAGTGACTCACGGAGAGATGTCACAAGCCGAAACGCTACTGGAACGAGTCGCGAAGACTAACAAGAAAGAAATGCCCGAGGAAGGGTTGGGTCTACCAGACGACCAAAAGAGTACTCAACGTGAAGCTGGTTTTATGGATTTGTTTAGAACCCGTTCAATGACCAAAAAGACTGTTATCAGCTGGATATCCTGGTTGGTGTAAAATGTTAAATATTGTCCTTAATCAAAAATATTAAAACAGCGTAATGTGACAAACAGAATCGAGCAATATGGTGGATGCAGCGTGATAGTGTAACCTAAAAGAAATGCTGTGGCTTGAAGGAACAGTTTTGAGGATAATCTAATATACTTAGTTAAATTGATGTTACCCTCTGACCAAAAATTCCAGCAGATAACTTCATCTCGTCAGGCACAATTTCCTCGTTCTAATCTGACAGAATCGCCTTTAGTCCCGGGTGGGTGGGGGAGGGGGGGGGTACTTCCTGTAATGGTATACGGGGAGGCTCCGGCCGAAAGAGGTACCTGTTTTAGGCCTTAGGTATATGAAAGGGTAGGGATTTTACGTTTCTGAGAAACTGCTCACCTACCCCTCACCTAAGCCAACATTAACTGTTACTTCTCACTTAGGGCAAAATGTTAGCTTAGGGGGAAGGGTAGGTGGGCAGTTTCCCAGAAGCGTATCATGATCCTGAAAGGGTAGGAGAATCTGTCATTTCCGTCTGTAAAAAGAACCAAAAAGGCTAACGATTTATTAATATTTTAAAGACAGTACATTTACAGCAGTTGAAAGGGATTAAAGTTATGAACTAGGTATTCGAAAGGGATACCATTTATCAATAAAAGGTATACGAAAAGGGCTCGTTTTCTGGCAAAAACGGTGTATAAAAGGTTAAGGGGTTGGACCTCGGGGCAGAGCTTCCCCGTATCAAACTTGTTTGAGTACCCCACCGGGCCTATAGCAGTACCACTGAACGACATGGCGTGACTTAACTAAATTGACAGAACTGTTTAAAATAAAGAAGCGTGAGATAACGTAACAGAACTATTTAAAATAAGAAGACTTCAAAAAAGAACACCCCGTCACTCGCCCATTGTTGAGAAGCTGTGGTAATGCTCCAAGCGCAAAAAATATTTACAGTTCTTTTCCTTTTCTGACAGGTTTGTAAATGCTCAAGTGTACTTCGGTGTGTCTTTAGGATCCGTTTTACTTGGTGGTAACATGTATCTTAATTTCTTTCTCACCTCGCTGGTCGAGATTCCTGGAAACGCTTTCGCCATCTATGCTATGAACAGGTTAGCAAATTTAACCAATTCCATTTTAAAAGCGTTGTGTTGAAAACTGTCGTGGATTATCGTAACAAAAGAAATCCATCTATCAAGCGAGGGAAAAGGATTGTGATAGAGACATGATTTGTTGATTTTTCAGAAATGGTTGGCTCCAACGTTTTTGGCCAAAGTGCTTGCGAAATCTATATTAGTTGTAAAAGGCTCTAACTGAATTAATCTTGTCTTAAAAGAGGCTGTGCTTTCTACTACATTTTGTTATTAACGCCAATTATGCGTCCTTATTCGCTATGAAACTTGAAAAATTACCTGTGAACGACAAAATTACCGCTTAATATGAAGCAAATACGTCTCTAACTT